AAACACACAAACACACAAACACACAAACATACAAACATACAAACACACAAACACACAAACACACAAACACACAAACACACAAACACACAAACACACAAACACACAAACACACAAGCACACAAACACACAAACACACAAACACACAAACACACAAACACACAAACACACAAACACACAAACACACAAATACACAAACACACAAACACACAAACACACAAACACACAAACACACAAACACACAAACACACAAACACACAAACACACAAACACACAAACACACAAACACGCAAACACGCAAACACGCAAACACGCAAACACGCAAACACGCAAACACACACACACACACACACACACACACACACACACACACACACACACACACACACACATATACACATGTACACACACACACACACACACACACACACACACACACACACACACACACACACATACACACATACACACACACACACACATACACACACACACACACGCAAACGCACACACACAAACACACACACACACAAACACACACACACACAAACACAAACACACACACAAACACACGAGCACGCACATCACTCACCAACACACACACACACAAACACGCAAGCGCGCAAACACGCAAACACAAACATACAGCACAATTACGCACCACGCAAACACAAACATACAGCACAATTACGCACCACGCAAACACCGAAACACCCAAACAGGCAAACGCGCAAACATGCGCAGCATGCGCAAAGAAACACGCGTGCAAACATGCACGTGCGCGCGTTATCATTCCACGCCTGCAGCTTGCTGAATACTTCTGAGGACAAGCATCATTGTCCTGGAGGCGCGCACGTTTCACAGTGGCACTTTTTTGTGTCGCTTTTGTTTGCATTGACGATTTTGCAAACCATCCCTCCCCCAAATGCTGACTTGTTTGCAGGGCGTCGGGCGCCAACTCAATCCCATTGCTGACCTTGCAGTAGCTGCAAGGCCAGCGGCGTCTTATTGAGTTGTTGAGTTGGTGAATTTTTTGTGAGACTCTGCTGTTTCTGCACCCTATTATCCAGGCCAATGCTGGCAGAGGCAGTTTCCAATGTGTGGCGGAGCTGACCAATTCTCGCGCCCCGAAAAAAGGTGCGTGTTGCACGTAAAGCATGAGCAACGCAAGCCGTATCATCAAACACAAGGCAGGTCTCAAAACAAGATTAAAGTCTGTGCTCGGATCTCACGCCTTGGCCCACAGAAAGGCATTGGACAACTTCTCAACAGTGATAGTGTTGTCAAGCAATCCCACAACACCACAGGTCGCAAAGCCTTGCCTTCCAAACCTCTGCTACACAGGGTGATGCAATCTCTTGCAATATTTCGAATGTTTCCGGACGGTGTGCAGACATACAGCTAGTGACCATGACAGACAAGGGGGGGTTAATCGATGCACAGTCATTCAAGGCATTAAGGCCGCATGACAATGCCCAAGGTGCTGCGCTGGTTGCCATCGCCCGCTCGTTTCACATGCGCAAATTCCTAAGGATGACCCGGACATGGGCTGGACCAGATTTGATGAGGAATCAGCTCCTTCGCCAGCATGTGACAAAAGAGCTTGCGCGATGGCGTTGGGCGCTTGTTGCTAAGGTCATGCATGAGCGCCGTCAGAGTCATGCTCGAACACAGAAGGCGAAGGCGTTGGTGAGCAAGCAGGAGGTGGGAGCTGTAAGCTGGAACTTTCAGTCCCTTTGCAAACAGCCTAGGCAGTGTTGCAAGGCATTCTGAAGAAAATGAATGAGGCTTGGCTTGATCGCTTTGTGGTTGTGACCGCACCGCAAAGTGAATTGAGGAGGAAGACAACGGCGCAATCTCGCCCAGTGCTTCCTGTTTGCAAGTTGTGCTGCAGCATGGATAGTCTTGAATCGCGTTGTTTATAGTGCTGTGATGACAGTTATCAACCACTACCTAATTGAACTCCAGCACCTTTGCTTGCCCTATGCTGATTCCCAACTTGCTTTCGCGGCGCCCGAAGCATACTACTGATTCTTCAACAAGCGACGTCGACCGATTGTATCCTTGTGCGAAACCTGGCGAGTTTTCATGAAGTTGTGCATGCCAATTGCCTTTGGGTCCCTGGTCCGAGGCTTCGGATGCCCTTTCCAAGGCGCTGTCCGGGTTGCCTGCATTGCCAGTTCTCAGTTTTGCCAGTTCACGGCAAGTTTGCTGCATTGTCGAGAGAGATGCGACAAGCCCAGCAAGTAAGATTCAACAAGATTAATTGGGCAGCTGGCCCGTGTGCATCGCGGCCCAACACCAGCTGGCAAGACGGACAGAGAGATGAAGACAGAGGCGCAATGACACAGAGACGGAAGCAAGGTCCGCTTGCGGGTGCGTGCCCTGCAACCTTTCGGTGGATGCCGCGGAAATCTCCTGGGTCGACCGCTGTTCCTGGCGCCCTTTGCGTAGCGTTTCCGGTGGATGTTGGACATTTGGTGGTTTGACTGTTTCTTAGTGTGTTTTGCATTGCTGCCGGTTGATGGTGCAGAAATCTTGATGGTTTGACTTGCAATCCACTTAGTTGCGCAACTTGCTCGGTTCTGCGCATTCCGGTGGATGGCGCAGAAATCTCAGAAATCTTGTTGGCTTGTCCAGTCCTTTCAAGCCCTTTTGCTCAACGTATTTCCAGCCACTTTTCCGTGAACGATCAGGATGATGCTGTGATGCTGTGCCACCCCGAAGGCTCTGTCCCCTGGCGTCTTGGTTGTATATTGCTCACTCCTCAAATTCCGCATCAGTGCCGAGACCCGGTCCAAGTGAAGCCTCACAACCGCAAGCCCCAGCGCCCGAACCCGAGCGAACACTTGCCGGTCCTTTGGTCCTCAGCCGGCTCTGCAAACACCAAGTTCTTGGCCACTTCACGTGGACATGTAGGGCCACGAACCCACTGCCTGCGCAAGGTCATCTACTATCGGAGGAATCAGAAATGGAGGCTGCTGAGGCAGATCGGGCAGCTGAGCCTAAGGAGGTGCAGTAGGACGCGCCAGGCCTGGAGGGTTCACCGCCGTGCCCTTCTGATCCTGCGCAAGTGTCAGCTTGGCAGGCAGGTCGACGGACACCGTATTACGCGTCCGGGCTGATTCTACGGTGCGGGAAGTCGCCACACAACGTTGTCTTCCCGCCAGCAAGCAGTTGAGGAGCAGCTGCTGGATCTTGCCCAGGTGCTGACATAGTCCGGCTTTGCGTCCCTCGGGTCTTCTGGGTCCGGCTGTTCCTTGACGAACATCACTTGGCTGGACTCCTCCACGATGTGTGTCCGCAGTCACAGCACCGCGTCGCCTTTCGGATTTGGTCACCGGTCGCGGCCGCGGGCTCCTCATCCATGCTGACCTGTCTCGCCATGCGCTGAAAGATCTGCAGAGGGAGGATGCTCACCAGCCACCCCTCTTGGCTTCAGCCTCTTCCGCCGCGAAGTTGCTCTGGGCCGCCATGTCGTCGATCCCCTCGACCTCACCCTCCGCTACCACGGCAGGGCTTCTCCTTTGCCTCGGAATAGGTCAAATGCAGTTGCAACAACAGCATAGAGGTGAACATGCGCAGCTTTTGGCGATAGATGTTTAATCTCAAAACGGCTCGAACGCCTTTGGCTTTGACAAGGGTTCCAGATGAAGAGCTCCCATCTACCTGCTTTTCACCTACCTTTGATGTAGATGCTTTGCCTTGTGCAAAGCGCTTCGTGTCCATGTCGCAAGGTCACGTCAAAGTTTGAGAGCGCGCGTGCCAGGCTGGAAGCTCACAGCGTTTCAGAAGTTGGCCACTGGCACAGACACTGACGGACAAGGGACCAGGGTCGCTTCACACAATTTGCGCTTCTTCCAATTGTTCTATATTTATCTTCTTTATTTCCCAGGTCTCCTCCTCGTTTCTCCACTCGCCTCAGGCGTGCTAGCGTAGAAACCAGCTAAGGTCTGCCTTCAGCCGGCAATCGCTGTCCGGTGGTTAGTTTCGATGCCACTGGTTTGATGTACAAGAACAGAATGCGGCGTTGCAGGTCAGCCTCCACAGCCTCTCTGCAGGCCGGGACGCTGAGAATTTAGAGACCCATGCTGCTCGCAAGCTCATGGCAGGCCTCCACACTTCACCAGCAAGCATTGATCGTGGCAAACCAGATTCTGACCCGGCAGGCATCGTTTGCACCGTTTGCACCGTTTGCACCGCTTGCACCGCTTGCACCGCTTGCACCGTTTGCACCGCTTACCCTTGTGCGTAGCAGAGACAAAACGTTATGCAGCGCGGCAAAGGCATGCGATTTTGTGGCTCGTCAATTGGCTTCAGCAGAAGAGTGCCAAGTCTCACAGGAATGAGACACATGTACCATAGATGACCCCAGTAACATAAAGCTGTGCTGACTTATGCATCGTTCCAGCAGGAGCGGCATGACTGGAGTTTCATGCTTTAAGTTGAACAGATCTCCTAACACAGCAGGACGGACAGTGCAACAATGTGGACATGGCGCCGCAATTACTGGCAGAGTATGTTACCTTTAGCGGGGAGGTACTCGAACACCACATTGGTGATGAGTCTGCAGGATCAAATTTTCAGAACATTTTTTCCGTGTCGAGGTTCCGATCAGCCTTCCCCAATTCAGAGGGACTACCACTCCTTGTTGGGCTGGATTTTGAGTGGAAGCCGGATAAGACGGTGGCACAAAACAATCCGATTGCGTTGATGCAGTTCGCTTGCTGGGATACAGTTTTCATTTTGCGAACAACTGACTGCTCCGAGCTTCCGCATTGGATGACGCAGTTTTTGGAGTCTGGAAATGAGATCGTGAAGGTTACAGCCAGCTTCGATGTTGCTGACAAAAGAAAGCTGCAAACAAGCTTTGGCTGGGATTTTGAGAGGGCAGCACATGCAACCTACTGGGATGTTGCGGAGTTGGCCAATGACCGGGAAGTCCCGCGAGGCATGTTCAACATGGCAGCATTTCTTAAGGTCCCCATTCAAAAGCTTAAAGCTGTGGGCTCTTCAAACTGGGCCCGCGCGAATCTTACTGACGAGCAGCGCGCATATGCTGCTGACGATGCATTCTTTCAGTTGTATCTTCTTGGAAGGCTGTTGGAATTCAGATCGCCAGAATCAACCTACGGTCAGCAAATTTGGGACTCGTGGCAGAAGATGCGTGGCAAGCTTGAAGCAAACATCAAAACAGTGGATAATTCCGGGTATGTTGCAAACTTCAATGTGCTGCGAGGGGTAGTCAGAGATGCAGTGGAGGTGCTGAGCAAAGCACTTGGCTCGGGAGGTTGCACCAACCTCAACGATATTCTAAAACTCAAGCCAGTGAAGAAGGCTCTAGCTGCGCAAAAGGTCTCACCTGTTCACGTGAATGCACATTTTTTGAGGCAAAACAGCGACATCTTCGTGCTATTTTTTCGGCGGAGTCAGCTATGTGTTAGACTTCGACATTCTGACGATGAGAGCGGTGAAGATGATGCGGAATGCGCAGATCTTGCAGAAGAGGATGTAGCAAAGCTGATTTCTGACGTGCAGGAAAAGCTTGCTGCGTACAAGCCACCCTCAGGCAAGAAGCAATCCGTTTTACATCGAAGTGTGCCCGAGCCACTATGGGTGCCTGCAAGGGCCATACTGTCACGCACAGAAATTGCCCAATTCGAGTCATGCTCCAGCAGTGCCCAATTCGAGTCAATTGAAACAAGCTATGATGCGGAAGATGGTTTGCTTCTTCGGCTCGCTCGACATCCTCGTGCTCCTGATGACATTGAGTATATGCAGAGCAACGTGCAACGTCTTGGTGACGAGCTGCAAATTGATCTGGCTGAAGCAAAGCGACGGCTTGGAACGGATGCAAAATTTATGGAGTTTTGGAGCTTGCTTCGCACAGTCGAGGTAAACTCACAAGAAGAGGCCGCCATAGCAAGATGCCTCAGTGCCCGTGGCCGCATCCTGGTTGATTCTCAGCGACTGGCTATCCGCCTAAGCCATGCTTCTTGCTTGCACTTGAGCTCGACATGGGTTTATTTCAGCGCTTACGCGTGCCAGGGTTTGGGTATAAACTGAATGTGGGCCGAAACGCCTGTTGCTTGCGAAGGCCTGCCTTTGCGACTGTATGGTTGCATGCGTGACATTTTGCCACAGGCATGTGCTTCAAGTGCAGAGCCTTCAAGTGCGACCATCAGCTGGGAGGTTGCCAAGGAAAGCTTGGAGCAGGCAGCCGCCCTGCGCAAGCTTCAAACGCAAGAATATTCTTGGCAGGTCAAATGGTATCGCCAACTCGTTGGGGAGAGCTTGACTGACGGAGGCTGAATCGCTATCCAAGAGCATCCATTTTCATGCTTGGAACGCAAGATGACTTGAAGGCGGAGAGTTGAATGAAGAGCTCGAGGATTGCTTTGAGGCAATTATGCAGGCTCGAGCCCACTGTTGATGTCTCGAAATGGTTTGCAAGTCAGGCCTGGCCGAATGTCCAGCAGGTTGCTCCCAATCCAAAGAAGCGGCGAGCTGCAGTCTCAGCTTTTTGCTGAGTAAGTCGAGCCGACTCGCAATCGACTCGCAATTGAGTCGCAACAGGCATATCAGCTGGCCAGGCCAGTGCCCAAGCATTCAAGCATGTCGCTGTCGTTTCAGTGCTTGGAGGTCTGCCAAGCGGAGCAGAACAGAAGGCCTAGATGACTACTGAAGGGTTGTCTTTCCGTGTGCTCATGTGTATTATGCCCCTTCATCCACACATCCTGCATGGCTCAAGTTCTTCAGGCTTAGAGGCGCGAGCCAGCCCTTTCAGGTGGCTTTGGTGTTGGGTCCGCCATTGCGCTCCTGCTTCATTAACTTGGCGCTGGAGCTCTTGCAGTTCGACCAGGTGGTGGATCGCGGATCCTGGACACTGGCGGCCGAGCTCTCCCTCGAGAACGTCCCACCGATGAACGCGCTGAACGCTCACGTGGGCCCGTCGGTAGTGGGCGGGGAGCTCCCCTACAGCAAGCTGCTAGATTACATCGCCAAGCGGTGCAGCGTTGGCAGGAAGCTTGCCGAGCAGGCGGAGGAGAGCGCAGGCGTCTCGGCCCGAAGAAAGATGCGCCCCAAAGCCATCGCAATAGGCTGGAGCGCGGCAGCAGGGGCGAGATTCGAGCCCCTGGTGTCACCAACAGTTCGAGTCCCTGACCTCATGAACGCGATGCCCCGCTTGCTGCTCAAACACGGCGCAGTTCTTAGACTCCGAGACCGTGTTGGTGTATGAGGACCGCGTTGGCTTTGCCGCTGACCTGAAGGATGCTCCGCCGAAGGTGTCCATTCGAGCCTCTCATCGCCAGGGATTTGAAGCGCGACCGGCTCATCCTTGACGCCCGTCCGGCCCACTTATTGGAGCAAGTGAGGACGAAGCGGTTCAGCTTGTTAACTTTGAGGTCTCTCCATCCCAGGACTTGCTCTGTTCCGGGCAGGATCTTCGGGACTTCTTTTACCAGTTCCAGGTGACACCTCAGCGGGCGGCTCGCAACGTGCTGGCGGGCAAGCTCTCCGCGTCGGAGCTCAACGACATCTTCGGCCGGACAACGAC